TTGTTATATCTGAATGGGTTGTTGTGGAAGTTTATTTTCAGTCTCAGCCTAGTCCTGGAAAGAAATTGGTAGAATACTTAGAAATATAGCTCCAATGTTTTCCTAATTTTTGTCCATGCTTTAGAAGAAAGAATATTGCAGCTGGAGTTGGGTGTTGCTCATGTATTTTTAAACAGTACTGGGGTGTAATGCTGGAAAGGAGCATATATCATGATGTTAATGATATGCAATTAGGTAGAAGTCTGTAAAACCCCCCAAATCAAAACTATTTGGTGATAGGCAAGACAGGCTTTTGTTCCACCAGGTCAGATAAGCATATCCCCTATTTTGACTACAGTTTCCAAGAACTTCAGTAACTGGAATTTGGGATTGCAGTCCTATAGAGGCTCAGCTTAATTGGTTTTAATGATATTGGGCCAAGTGACTTCTCTCACTATATTGGAGGTGATGCCTTGGTATGTGTGTGTGTGAAGGACATACTTCAGCTGGAATAAAACTGAGCCGTCCTCAAGCAAAGTGACATTTCCAGCTCCTCAGACACTTTGTGGAACCTAATTCACACAGAATGTGACCAGTTACACTTCAGTGTTGGCTGATCTTCAACTGCAGTCAATAAATCAGCCTGGGCAGGGAGACTAGGCAATTCAAACATGCACTATGGTGTTTGCTTTTGTAGCCTTTTTGAGAGGTCAGATAATGGAGACATCAATTAAAAGCAGGATAAACAGCAGGGTTCTTCCAGTGCAATAGTGTTTCCCTTTCTTAAATGGAAGTGTGGATTTAGCTTTAGAGAAGGCAGCCAAATCATTTGTTTTGTTTACAAGCAACGTAATTCAGACATGGCTGGTGAAAACTTCAGTGCTCAAACTTCTTTCATAGAACACAGAGTGTAGATTTTGAGTGAATATATCAATGTCCAAACCTTCTTTACAGAAAACAATGGTTTGTTTTTTTTCAACCTCATTAATATTCCAGTGGTTTTTTTTTGTTTGTTTTGTTTTGTTTTGTTTTGTTGGTTTTTTTCAGAAGAATGGGAAAGGCAGAGCAACTGGAGCTATAAAACGCAGATTAATATCTTCAAAACATTGAGCAATATATTTCAGCCTAAATGCATTGCAATAGATTTGCCACAATGTCAGAGGTGTTTTAAATTGCACTTAAGGATGTAGTTGAAGTCAAACAAACTGGACATAAGTCATCTGCAGTACTTTGAATTCTTCACTAGAACTGTTTGAGTGAATTGAGTGATCAAACTTTATAGGGCCAAGTGGGACAAGGTAGCTCTTAGCTTTGGAACTGGCTGTCTTTCTGTGAGTGTGCAGACAGTGCCAGCAGAATAGCAGTGACAGCAGTGTGATGTGCTCCTGCAGCCCATCTCTGCAGAGCTTCTCACTTTGTTGCCACCCAGTTTCCCATATGTGCACTATCACCCCACATGTGAGGTAGCTCTTCAGATTCTAATTGCAGATAACTAGTGCATGTCCCAGAACTGAAAGAAGCTCTGCAGGTTTTCAGATCACCACCAGACTGCCTGTTTGTTCACCTTCTGTTATTGAGTGGTGTTCTGAAAACAAGGCCAAAATTGTCTTTTTACAACACTGAGGTACTGTTTCATTGTAGGCATCAGGGAATGCCTCCAGAGGTAAGCGTTGCTTCTCACTAGAAGTGCTCCAGACAAGTGGGTTGGAATGAGAGTGCTGGTGATATCTAATATTTAAGGTGAACTTCAGAAGGAAGTGAGTGGTAACCTTTGGAATGATTAAATTATCACTCAAAAATGCATTTGGCATTTGCAACCTAAGACAGTATGAAATACACATCTGGCAAAGTATCTGCCATAGGGCACTTCAGCTGAGCCATCTGCTACAAAACTAATTCTGCTGGGCAAGACTTTAGGTCTGGTATTGCTGAAAGCTTCCTGCTCCTACAGGAACCACAGTGCAGGATATTAAAAAGCTACAGCTGTTTCAAGAAAGACTTCAGTGGCTGCCATAATAATGTCTATAACAAACAAACAAAACCAAAAAAAAACAACACCCCAAACCAAAACCAAAAAACAAAACAAAACAATCCCCCCCCCCAAAAAAACCCCAAAAAACCCCAAACAACCCAAAACAAATGAAAAAATAAAAGAGAGAGAGAGAGAATGTGACAATGAGGTTTAGGTGCAGGGAGTCTAACCAGTGAACTTCCAGTTTTCCATACAGAAGGGCAAAGTTATTAAATGTTAGAGGAGAAGAGGAGGATAGCTTTTAGGAGATTCTAAATTTACAGAGAATTCAGGATGAAGTGGGACAACAAAGATCAGACCTGACATTTTGCTTATTCTCTTTTCTTGGTATTTACTTTCAGATAAAACCAGCTGGATCCAGAAAAGTGAATCAGTGCTAAGTGCTTCCATGACCTGGAACTGGAGTAGTTGTAATTGACAGCAGTTCCCTTTCCTGTATTCATTGAATAAACAGAGTCCTTTTCCTATCAGGGATGTTTTCAAGTTCTCTAGATACAGTTTTCATCAGTATCTGTGGCTGTCCCGTTTGGAACCCTTTGGACTCTGCACCACTCCTATTCACATGATGATCTTGCATTCCTCCTGGAGACAAAAATGTGTGCTCATCCAGCTAGAGAGTGGAAACTTACTGACTGTACAGAGCTTGGCAGGAGCTCCTGTTCCAGCCTCCTGACAAGAGCAGGGACAGGCTACATTTCCATAAGTGCTGAGCCAATTAAAGCCTTTTTGTCTCTGCATTGAGGCTTCTTCTCTCCCTGTTTGTTCTTTCTCCATTCTTAGGATGAGTATGCAAAGCAAGAAAGCTGTTTTTTTTCTGTGCCTAGTTAGTGTTGTAGGCAAGGTTTGGAGCAAATGCAGACCCATTGTAACATTTCTGCAAGAGCCCTGCAAGTGGAACTGCCTACAGCAAGAGCACAGATTATGTTTTACGTCTGACACATTCATCTTTTAACGTATTAGAGCAGAAGTTGCAACAGTTCTTTGGAGTCCCCAAATGAATTATCAGTGCAAACTGTCTTTCTACTGCCTGGAGCTCTGTCTGTGGTCCTTGTTTTAACTCTTTGCTAGCCACAATCCAAAACACAGGGAAAACTGCATTAAATGATGAAGTTCCTTAACTGCATGAATGTATGTTTTTATTGTAGTATTAACTTAAATAAACTATTGCCTGCAGTGGAAGTGTGTTGTAAAAGCAGCATCTATGTGTGGCTATATTGGAAGAGAATCACTCATTGCATAGTATTTTTCCCATTTTCCTTTTTGAAACTTTCCTACTAGCAAGCTTTAAGGAAATGGTTCAAGCACATCTGATGACCCCAAAGCCATAACTGTGCAGATGCTTTAGGGGAAGGCTTGCTGAGTTCCTCCTGAAGGTCCAGAGCAAAGGCAGCCTGTTTCTACTCTTCCTTCCACTGCTTTATGCCCTTTTCATGAAGTCGTATAAAACATGCATTTTGAATGGGTCATATTATGGGCTCTTACATAGTCAGAACTTCACACTGATTTAATGACCAGCATTAAAATTATGTCTCCAAATTTTTATCAAAATATCCAAGATTAGCTTTGCAACTGGGTTATGATAGATTTTATTTTTCAGGCAAGCATTTGTATCCAGTATGCCTAAATTTCTGGTATATTAATCCTACGAGAACAAAGACTTAGTTATCTGTAATTGTATCATTAAAACTGCCAGTCTGATATTTTGATATTTTGAAATTTAAATCTAAAAGCAAATATTCTTATTATAATTCTCACACGTTAGTAAGGAGTTCTAAAGAGCTAAGTCTGAGTATGGCTAAGCTGTAGTGCAGTACTGAGTATAAATGCACTGTCAGTAGATCTCTGGTGGGTATAAATGTCAAGGGAGAGGAGGATTACTGCTGTACTATTAGTTATGTTGAGATATGTTTTGAAGAATGTGAAAAACTCATTTTGCTATCAGCAAAACACACAGGGTCTGAGTTCAGTTACAAGTTCCTGCTTTCCTAAGAAATATTCAAAACTCTATTAAACAGAGAGAACCAGCTTGCACTCCAAGGAGATAAGACAGATGAGGTAATATCTTTCCCTCCCTATCTTTCTGTTCTCCTCCTTGGCTGCTGACTGTGGCCATGCTGTGGCTCACCAGTTGTTGTGCATGGGGAGCATGGAAGTGAGTGTAGGACAGGTGAGTAGTTGGAGACTGTCCGCACACTCACCAGTCAGATCCTTCCTCAAGGAAGTGCATAGCAACAGAAGAGTCACTGCAATGCTCTGCTGGACATAAAGTTCAGCTGTGTATTCAGAGAAAGAAGGTGCCAGACTCGGTAGTTTTTTCAGCAGGACATTGATAAAACGTTGATTTGTTCCAGATTTTCCCCTTACCCTTGCTGCTTTCCCTCTCCTACCCACACACAGTCATTGCCTTGAGTCACAGTGCTTTGTTATTACAGTCTGTGCTGCAGCCCTTTTCTGAAAGGCAGCTTTCCCTGCTTGTACTTCTTCTGCTGGGAACCCCAAAACTTTATAGACTGTAATAATTTCTAAGTCACAGGATTACCAGAACATGCAATGATGAAGAGGCCAGATTGGCTAAAGCTGGGTAGGATCTGGTTAAAACCTCTGTAACTCAAATAGAAAGAGAGAGAATGTCAAGTAGTGAATGGACAGGAAGTCAGACTGCTTAAAGCCCAAGATGCTGGTTTTTTACTAGCATTGAGTATTTTCATTTTCATTGAAGTTTCCTTCTTGTTGGTCAATTACTCTTGCATTGTTTGCTTTTTAAGAGAGAATTTTTTTTTTCATGGAAAGCAGTGAGTGGACTTTCAATTTTTAACACAAACAAAACTTGTTTATATGGAGCCATGCCCAATATGAGAGATTATATATCAAAGTATTTTCTTTAGCTGAAAATCCTGAGAACAAGTAAAACTCAGGGAAAACAGAGATCTCTTCAATGCAAAGAGTAGCTAGAGGCCTTGTTTTGGTTAATGTGTTTGATTTGTTTGATTTCAAGATCAAAGAGAGGTTTATGGAGAGCAGTAATGCTGTGGAGACAGTTGTTTGAACTTTGGGTTTGCTGATACAAACAGCTGCTGATATCCTTGAGAGGAAGATCCTTGGTAGCTGTGCAAAACAAGCTCACTACTTTCATCTGCATTGGGAAAAGCTTGGCTGAAAATATCACTGCTGTGAGTAGAGAAGCAGAGAGAAAGAGTGGTTGTATGGGCTGCCTGGAAAAACCACAGAGGTGAAGGACAAAGTGTTCTCAGTCTGATATGGACAAAGTTAAGATGAAGATTGATTGGATTTGATTGCCCTGTGGTGTGGTGAGTTCCCTTAGGAGTTAGACTGCATGTTTGTGTAAAGCTTGTATTTCACTCTGAAGTTAGGATGGAAATGTTTCTCAGCAGGAGATATATCTTAGAGCTTATCTAGGAAAAACACATAAAGATTATGGGAAAAAATCAGTTTTTCAAAAAATTGCAAAATGGGAATTCAGAAGTTTAGGCCAGAAAAAATGTTAAAGGCATACTGTAGTCTTCCCCTCCTTTTGATATGTAGAAGGATTTGGATTTGGCCTTTATGTTCTGCCCCTGTCTGACCTGCCAAAGCTCTGAAGAGAATTGTTGTGTTGACAACACATGATAAGGCAAAGCAGAACTTGTTCTGGTCAGAGTGTTTTTCAGGCAGTTATCAAATTACTTGTAGCTTTTCATCAAAGCAAATCAATCTACAGCAATATGAATTGAATATGGTAGTTGATCCTGAACTTTTAACAGCCAATCAGCACAAAGATACGGACATATTCTCTTTTGCTGATGTTTTTAAATCCTAATGTACTCTCCCCACCCTTCACTTGTTTGACTTGCCTTCCATCTTGCTTGAATTCCTCTCTGCCAAGCTTTGAGCTGTGTTTATCAATACACTTTGAGCCCAGCTTCATCTGGAAGCAGGCCCAGCCTGTGGTAGAAAGTTCCTAAACCTAATTTGTTGTAGCAAAAATGTATTTGACCAAAAGCAGACAAGCATGTGCTTTATTAGTGTTTCATGGTGCCTTCCAGCAGGGCAGAGCTGAAAACTGCAGCCTTTTTTAAAACAGCAATGCAATTATGTGTTGTATAAATTCTTAAAAATCCTTTAATGAAAACCAGCCAGTTGTGCTGTTATCAGCAGTGCTGGGGAAGGCAGTGTGAAAACACAAAATGTTATAGGCAAGGCTCCTTAGGGGTAAAACAGAAACACCAAAACCCCTGAGATTGGTGTGTAAGGCACATATTGAGCAGATAGCAAAAGCATTGTAACATTGTAGTGCCTTCTGGCCACTAAATATGCATTAAAAAAAATCAAATTACTCCTATTACAGTATTACTGCTACTACTACCACCACTTTTAAGCAGATCTGATCTTCTGGGTCTAGCAAATGTGGCCTTTGGAAAGTTGCTGCTTTTTTCTACCGATGGCTAAATATGTGTACAAGCTGGAGTAATTTGACAGGATATTTTAAGACATTTGAGACATAATGCATGTTTAGATGCTGTAAAAACAGTAGTTTCATCTATATGCCAACTTTGCTTCAGAAAAAGTCCCTTTGAAAGGGCTGCAAAACCTGACTCTTCTTAACTTCCGTTGGAAGTTTCCAGCATTTCCAGGTGCCAAGGTTGTGTTACCTGTTTTGTAACATAAATTAGTGGAGAATGGTTAGTAATCCGCATTCTCTGCTGCTGCAGATCTCTACTAACTTGGGAAGCTGTGCTGAGTTCACAGTGCTGAATTTGGCCTACTCCTGTAGTTCACAGTTCTGCATATTAGTTTGGGTACTGTTGAAGGGGGGCTTAAAAACTCAAAAAAATCCGGTTAGGAGGATGGACATTCTAAAAGGCAGTGTATGACTGATGCCATGGGCCCTGCAAGTTCAGGATAATTAGGTTTTGTACTTCACTTCTTGCAGCTGATCTGTTGTCTAAGGGACAGCAGAATTTCCTCTAGTGTTTATAAAGTCAGTCCTGGCTGCAGAGTCTCTGGACAATTCACTTGACAACTTCCCAGTATTTTGTTTTCCTGCTTCCTTAATAAAGACCCTAAAACCTTGCAGATAATTTAATTTACTGCAGCCACCTCCTTTAAATCAAGAAAATCAGTTATGTGAGCTTCAGAAGTAATCAGACCTTCTTAGACTTTCCTGTACTTTTTTGCTAAAAATAAAATGGAAGTGTGTTCAAGAAAGGTTATAAATTTAGCAGAACTGTTCCTTTCTGTGAGGAACATTCATCAGGGAAGGGCTCTGTGCAGAGGCACACACTTGGGTGCAGTGTGAAACAGAGACAGAAAATCATAGTGCTGCCAGTACAAGGTGTTGAGAAAGTCTTGGAGCTGGAGCTCTTATCTGTACAGAATCCATTTCTCTGTGGGAGAATCTTTCATTTTCTGTACCCACCTTTAAAAAGCAGAGTCAGATTTCTTCAAATAAACATGTAGAATGCATGTTCTAGAGAAAGTGAGAGCAAGCCTGTTCAAAATCAAATCAGTGGCACTCAGACTTCCATGGGAGTGGTTTTCCACTCAACCATTCTTCCATCCTTTTCCTATCAGAGTAATTAATATTAAATAGTGTCATTTATTTGAAAACAAATGAAAGGGACACTTGGTTCAGGGGAAAAAAATCCCTTTACTCCAATATTATTACCCCCTTAGAACCCTCTGTTCTTTTTAATTGATTTAAGCTAATAAAGATCTAATTTTCATGAAGCAGCCACACCAGATTAAATCAATCACAGGCTGTCAGGCACCATCCTTGAAGATACACTACAATGGGGAAAGTACATAAATAGGACAGAGACAGGGAAGGAATTAGCAAAGTTAAGGTCAATCTTATACTTGTGGGAATACTTTCCTTTTATCAAGTAAGGTAGCTAACAATCCTCCCTGCTATGCTAAAGAACAGAAGACAATGGCACTGGTTGTAAAACCTGTACATGATCACTGTAGCCCTAGGAATTCTGCACACCTAGGAAACATTGCCACACATTCTTCTGATCTGTTTAATTTCCCTTATATTTCCTTTCTGTTAATTAATGTCTTTGGGATGCAGAGACCATAACTGCATGCTGTACTTAAGATATGGGTTAGGCAAGGATTTCTACAGCAGCAAAATGATACTTTTCAAAATGTTTTCTCTTTATATCCATTCAGGTATCAGA